ATCGAACGTTATGCCAACAAGTGGTGTTTTGTGCATGTGTTTTAGATAAAAAAGATCGTTTTTACCATAAGGTGTGCAGAGTCTCAAGCTGGACCGTCAGGGAAGCAATCAGGGACAAATCCTGCGAGAAATGAACTCTAGCTCAGCAAGTAATTGATACGCCTGATTATTTTGACTCGGGAGCTCAAGCAGAGGGGTTAAAATTGTTCAGGAACACACGGCTCAAAGAGTTAAAACAGGTTTTGAAGAAAACAGATTTCTCAAGCCAACGAATTGATTTCAGTGTTAATGGCAGTTTCCTTTCTGTTGTGGATTCCGAGATGATATCTGGTCTCCAATGAATGACAAACGCAGGAATGAAATATAACAAATAAATGTATTTACATAATAATACAATTGGTAATATGGTTAGTAAATCCAGAAACGTGGTCAGTAGCAATAATAATAATAATAATAATAATAATATATATATATATATATATATATATATATATATATATATATATATATATATATATTGTCTAGTAAATTCAATCTCGAAGTAGGACTTCCTTAGAGTCTACGTGCTGTAACTGTGACTTCTACAAGCGGTTACCTCACACTATTACTCTACCAACTCAATCTCACTATCTATATCTCATTACTCTGACTGCCTCTGCGTATTTAACTGCAGCAGTCCAAGTACACACTGGTAGAGTCCACTTGTATGAAAAAGGGGTGGACCCCATAACACTTTCTAAACTTTTTTTTCAGGTGGTTGTGGAAAGCCAGCATTATTTTCCCTTTTAATTACATGTTCTACCCATTTTAGTTGTTGTTGCTTTTCGAAATCTTCATGTGATGTAGTATTTGTTATTTATTAATCTTCTTTCTTACTCTTCCTATAGACTCAGTCGATAAGATCTGATGGATTTAAGGTCTATAAGATTCATTCGTTTGATACCATTTTAAACATTGATATGAGAAAAACGGTTGTATATGGCTTATAGTTCAGATATTTCTGAACGTATTGGATGCCATGCATAACATTCATATCAGAATCTGGATCCGATGAAGATATTTAAGAACATAATTCTTAGTTTCTTTGGTAACATTTTATGGTGTGGAGCAAAACTAACTCTATCGAATCATATCATATGTTCAATTTCCACTACTTTCTCTACTAAATTTGTTATAGCCGTTCCCTGCACGGAGGTGGAAATATCTAAATCCTTAGAGTGTTACAGATTTTATAAGTATACAAACCTGTTGAATGCAAAAGGAATTAATTATATCCCTGTGGTAATTTTTTTAATGTCCCCACATTTTCATGTTGATATTTGCGCCGGTAGATATGTTACAATTAATTCTTCCGTAGGTAGTAAAAGAAAGCATGTCGAAATAAACTGTAAGAAGACGAAATGCATGATTCTCAGCAAAGGAGACAGTTCAAGGTGTGAGATCTGTGTCAGAGGCATTACATTCAGACAGGTAGAGACATTTTATCCTCACAAAGGAAAATGTGAGGCAGAAATCTGAAGGCGCTTTCGCATAGCCAAAAGATCCTTTTCGAAAACTCAGCAAAGTCTTTCGCTATAAGAAATATCCACAGAAAAATGAAGACTGCAAATATATCGAATATCTTTTATATGAGTTGATGCTGGAAAAATACTTCAAGACAAGAAAGAAATTGAGTCGACAAAACGCTGACAACGTAAGAGGAATTAGAATACTCACAACAAAACAGGAATAGAAACAAAGTCTTCAACTGGAAGAGAGAGTGTAAAATTTCTTGGACGAATATTGAGGAAAGATGGTCTGAAGAACATAAGACTAACAAGTAAAACAATGTAACACTACTGTTGTAGAGTAGTTTTCACAGTGGAGGCTTGTATTTCAATAAGTCGTCCTAAATTAGGTTCGACGTACAAAAACGTTAGGAACTTAAAAAAAGAGTTAATGACGCAGCAATCTAGTTGTGATGATTGATACTTCAATGTCCGACATCGACTGACTTATTCAACACCACTGAGCCCAACTAGCGACCGCTACTACTACTGCTACTTATTATGTGTGGGAGAGTCTATTAGTAATAGAATAGATACGTTCAGGTATGACAACTACCAAGAAACTATTTATCGAATTTGTATAAGCGAATGACAGAACAAGGACAAAGGGTGTTAAAGGTTTAAAAGTTACTTTGAGCAAATAAAAAAAACAGGTAGATGTGGGAAACCATAGAAAAGAAAATAATCCTGCTAAGTCATGATTGGTATTGTCTTCTCGTGGTCTCATTCCACGTCTGTAGACGGCTGTAAAGTCTCTATGATCTCTTTGCTTTCTCTTTCTCCATGCCATTATTACTGTCACCTCATTTTTGAGTATGACCACCGCTAGGTATAATTGCAAGACTCAATTGTGATTTACACGAACTGTGCACGAACTCGTAAAACAATAGAAAATCATGGCTCTCCAACAAATCACTATTTTTATAATCTTATGGCATATTGAAAACGTAGTTGAACAGCTTTCCGTTACTGTTTCCATACATTTACCCTCTAGAATGACTGCTAATCAAGTGATGAGAGCCCTTGGTATTTAACCCTTAGCTCAGAGGTGGGCAACACTTGAAACGCGTGCCACACATGAGACACCAGTGACTTGATTCTTGCACGCGAAAATTATTCATTAAATTCAAGTCTTGACTTTTATTCGTTTTCTCTTTTATATATCATTATCTCATCTATTTTTATTTTCTTCCCTTTACCCGTCCTGGATATGACGATAAACTACACCCGCGTCCGGGGTAAGACGATAAAACTCGTCCATCAGCAAAGCCTTTGATCAGGAGGTTTTGAGAGGCGTGGAACCAACTCTTAATTGCTGGTGTTCCCAGGTCCACCATGACCCGGGTTGGTAGCACCTGTTAGGGTCCCAGCTATGGGCAAATAGTTAACTATTACCAGCAATACATTTTTTTTAATTATTTCCAGCAATACTATTTTATGAAAAAATTATTGCCAGCAATATATATTTTTTTTAAATTATTACCATCAATACATTTTTGAAGGAAAAATATAACCAGAAACAGATTTTTACAAAAGAAAGTATTACCAGCAATAAAAATTTTGTCGGCATTAAATAACCCATTGAGGTTAATATGCCGTAAAACAAACCAAACCAAATCCTCCCTTTACAGATTGTGCAGGATATCACGTTCGTCCGGTGTCATTAAAATGAAGAAGATATTAGAGAATTTAAATAATACTGGACTGAAAAATTTGGTATGACTGATAAAGAAAATAAAGCCTTATGAATTTTCTGTTCCAACACAATCGTTTTTAGGAGTTCTGACAATTTGTAAGTGTTCATAAGTTAAGCAATAAAACTGAAGAGGAAAAATAAGAATGGATTTTTCGTGAACTGAGAGACAAAACTGGTTGATACTTTTTTGAACTATTTCCAGCAGGCTCAGTTCAAACTTAGTTGCTGCTAGTTTTGGGGTTTCAAAAAAAAAATTGTTGACACGTGGAAAAATTTTGTGTCAGAGATTGGGCCGGTTTTGGCACGCATTCTCAAACAGGTTGGCCACTTGTGGTTAACTAGAGTGGAAAAGAAAAAGGATTTATACCTTTTCCAAGAACAATGGCATGAAGGGATCACTTCATTTTAGGCCGGCTTACGGCCGTTTCACAGTGAAACAGCGGTTCCCGTACAATCACCGAAGTTAAGTAACGTCGAACCTGATTTGTACCTCGATGGGTGACTACTAAAACATTTCTGCTGAGAGAACCTGGTTAAAAAAATTACAACGAGATTTAAGCGTGGCTTTTTGGCGTTAAATTATAACTTCCTGCCAACGATAGAGTTCTATTATCTCAGATGATGCGAGCCTCTAAAGCAGTTAACCAGTTATATTCGTGAGCAATCTGGAAGCCTATCATCAATTACCTCTCATCTGCGCTGTTTGTTCTTTGCCGTAGATAGACGACCCGAGAAATATTGTGGCAAATGTAACAACTAAAATCCCAGACGAAGAGAATATTACGCTTCAAAATTATTATTATTATTAATAATAATAATAATAATAATAATAATGTTTCCTCTAAAAATAAAATTATAGATAATACTACCTTGATTTCTCTTTTTCCATCTTGGAAGGCTGACCCAACACCCATAGACATTTTCCCTATATGGTCTTCTTCCTTACCAAGCTATGTTTAGCAAATTATCAATTTAAGCAATAATCATAAATATAGTAAAATACGTGTATATTCCCTACAAACACCAGAATTTGAGTTTAAAATCTAGGATTTTAAATGCTAATTTTTCCAAAGTAGATAAACGATGGTTGGCGCGGTACAATTTTACTATCCTAAAATTGACTTAATTTTGTACAGAACTAAGGTTTGTGTACTATGATGCTTGAAAAGACATTGAAATCAATTCACACCAGACCTTCAAAGAAGACAAGTGTGCCAAAAAGTTGATGCAAGGCGACAATGAAAGAATGATCTGAACTTAGATGGTGAGGAATGGGCACATCACAGTCGAAGAATATAAAGTCAATATACGAGATGAGATTAAGCGACGACATATTGATGTGAATAAGATGTCAAGTAATAAAGAGTCTTGTTTCGTGTTCAGTCATTACGTTTAAAAAATAGCAAGAAGTAATAAATTTTGAAACGTAAATGTCTCTGAAAACGGAGCAATGAAGTTTATTTTCTTCATGATCTCTCCGTCTCTCCGAGAAAAAAAAATTCGCTGTTAAATATTACGCCTACAAATATTTAATTCGCAAGTACAATTTTAATACTGACTCAATTTCGCATCTATAATTTCTTTGTTTCCCCGCAATTAAAATATCAATAGAGAACTGAATTTAATTTTTATTTTGTCTTTATTTTCCTGACGAATTTTCCCTTCGTACAAAGCTTCGTTTTAATGACATATTCCTCTTAATTATATTGTTGCTCATTTTATTTTATTTTTTTTATTTAAACGATTTGTATATTTTAATGGCTACCTCTTCCTTTCTCTTGCTTTATTTATTTGAGGTTTGTTCTCTTTCCTTTATTCAGTGATTCTGTTTTTGTTTCATCGCTTCAAAAAACCTTAAATTATCAAGAGATTTTTATTTTATTTCTTTTCTGCATCATCTTAGTCTCTTTCTTTTTTTTTCTTTTATTCCTTCTTTCTTACTTTCTTCATTATTATCTTTAAGAGATTCTTTCAATGTAAAAATATTTTCTGGCTTTAAATAACCTGCAAAGGATTTATACGCCGTAAAAAAACAAATCAACCAATTTATTTATTTCTTCCCTTCTTTCTTTGTTTTCATTTCAAGCATTTTCTTTATTTTTACCCTAATTAGGTGTTGTGTCATTCCACTGATTTTTATCGACATTTTATAAATCATTTGGCCCAGTTTTACCTCGACTTCGATTTTCATCATTTTCTACTCTGTTCTTTTCTTTCCTTTGTTTCTTTTCTCGTTCATTTATTTTAGTTTATCTTTTCTTCTTTGTTTTATTTCTTTTGCTACCTTTTCATTTTTCTTTTACTATCTTTGTTTTTCTTTCTTCATTTTCTATTTTTTGTTTTCTTTTTTCTTTTGCTATGTTAGCTTTATCCTTTCTTTATTTCTCTATTTCTTTTTCTTTATTTTATTCATTCTTTCTTTTCCTTTCTCATATTCATTGTTCATTCTTTAAAATTTAAGCAGTTCTTACGCCATTTATAAATTCTTGGTACATTTTCTCTTTTCGTAATCTTTTCTTTCTTTGAAGCTTTCGTCTTTTCATCATTATTTGCCCGTTTCTTTTTTTTTCCTTTCTTTCTTTTTTTTTCTTTTCTGTCTTTTTTATTTTCTTTTACTATACATTCTCTTCTTTTTTTTCTTTGGTTATCTTTGCGTTTTTCCTTCTTTTACTAACTCCAACGTTTTTATCTAACTTTCATTTGTTTTTTTTTGTTTTATTTGCTTTTTCATTTTCTAATCATTTTTTTCTTTCTTTCTTTTGTCATCTTCTTTTCTATCTTTATTCTTTTACTATTTTTCCCGCTTCCTTTCATTTTTCGTTTTTCTGTCATGTTTGCTTATATCCGCCATTTCTTGCTATCTCATCAACTTTTATTTATTGGTCGTCCTCTTTATATTTTCTTTGTTTTCTTTAAATTTTTTTCCCCGTTTTCGATTATTTCGATTATAAATACCTTTTCACTTACTCCCTTTCACCAACTTTTTCCTTTTTTTTTTTCTTCTTAAAGCAATTTTCCGTTAATCTTTCCCTGTTATTCATCAAAAGGATTTTTCCAGATTTCCCTCTCATTTTCTTGATAATCTCATCTACTTTTTTTTTATTTTGCCTCATTTTAGTCTCCTTTTCCTCTTTTCATAATTTCACCAGTTCTTTAATGCATATTCCCCTTTTCCGGCTTTTCTATTTGTTAATCCTCTTCCCGCCATTTCCATTTCTTGCTACGCGCGCACACAAACAAGCCTTTAAACTCAAAACAAACATAGCAGCATACATTGCATTTACTAGTTTTTTTTTTGTTTTTTTTTTTTTCCTTCTGCCTTTGCGTCAATGTATCACAGTAGCATCTTCCCACTGAAAAAAAAAAATAGCGGGAATCAATCGATGAATCTCTGGTAGCAGATCCACCTCTTAGTTTAGATGGCAAGACTATTTCGTCACTGTAACAAATGTGTATTTCGATGATATTTTTTTCTCTTCTCTTTTAATGAAAAAGGAAATTTAAAATAAAAAAATACATAAAACTTAACAAATCATCGTTAACAGAATCAAATAATTTCAAATATAAAGTGAATCCGAAAAATTATCAAAAAAGTAACGCTTCGAGCAAAATATATTTGATATTGTAAGCAATAATATATCTTTTAAAAAAATCTAAATCAATCAATGTATTGTATTATTTTTTAATCAGTATCATCCCAAGCAAGAGAGTAATGCCAGTAAAACACAAGCGGTTCCAGAGTGGAAAAGAATTAGGAAAAAAAAAAACATTAATAAGGATCAGAAAGAGAAGAGAGTAATCAGAAGGACAATAAAAAGCGATTGATATTGCATTTAAATCTTTTAATGTTCGCTGGAATGCATGAAACCGTGAGAGAGGTCCACAAGCGAGAAGTGCGAGAGAAGAAACTGTCAGCATAGAACTTACGGCTGCATCTAGCTAGCTTAACTGTAAATTGATGAGATCTCGACGACAGTGTAGTGCTTCATTTAAATTCAAGAAGTCTACGTACCATAGCGAAAAGCTCATTCGAACAAATACCATGAAATTATTTACAGAAAAGGCACAGAGATCCAACATTACGGCGATGGGAAAATGAGTGCAACATGGTCATTGTATTACCTTCGTCCCATAAAAAAAGAAGATTTTTTCAAATGGACGGTTATTCCATTGATACCGATATTATTCGGAGTACCTCGGCAATGATTATTGTTTAAAAAAAACGATGATGATTAGAATTATAGTAAAACTAAATTATATATTTATAACATTATAAAATATGTGAAACGACTATAATGAAATATTTATTACTTACCATTTATAATGAAATAAATACGAAAATACGTGTCTATCGAAAAATTTATAAAAATGTCTGAACAAAAAAAGTAAATAAACACATAACGACGAGTAACTGCAATTATAAATTTCATGAACCCATCTCTCATCCACGGCAACTGTTGAAATCAAGGACTTGAGTGCAGGGGTATTGTCTTAATGAAACAAGACTCCTTTCGTCAGTTTTCCTAGGCATTTTGTCTTGATAGCTAATCGTAACTAACTGAGCAAGTTGGCATCGTAATCTTCATTAATAGTCTGGCCATTTTGAAGAGAATTAACTCAATGCAATATTCAGTACCTACCTTGGCCTTCTTTAAAGAAGATGAAGAGAGGTGTTTCCACTGCATGGGTGGTCTCTGTCTCTGGCTTAAAATGATGAACCCAACATTCATCTTCCTTTAGGAAACGTTCAAGTAAACCAACTTGTTCTGCTTCAATGTCAGATTTTCCTGTGATGTGATCAGTTTGTGCGCTTTTAATCAGGTATCAAAAGTCGTGTAACATATTGGGCAGAAATGTTTGTCATGCCAAGTTCATTGTGCAGTACATCCTTAACTCTCTCACGGGATATGCTAATAGCTTTGGCTATTTAATTTATAGCCAATCACCTGTTATCCATCACCATGTGGCGTGGACGATTAATATATTCCTCGGTGGTGGCAATCGTAGGACGCCCAGACATTGGGTCATCTTCAAGACTCTCTCTTCCTTCCCTCTTAAATTCAGCTGCAAACTTTTGCACTATTGATAAAGCTGGAGCGTCATCCAATAATGTAGTAAACATAAATATCCGGGGGAGGGGGGTAAAACCCTTTTTCCTGCAGGTATTTCATGACACTACGATGCTAAATTTTGAAGTCTTTTTTGAAGAGCCGAATGTTAGTTTACATGGAAAGCGACAATACAGTTATTAATAAGAAGAGTTGAAATTAATGCATGAAATTAATCACAGCTGCAGCACGCCACCTTCATAGTCTTAATAGTGTGGCGATTTTGAAGAGAATACACACACTGCCATTTTCAGCACCTGCAGAGGAAATGACCTTAGCCTTCTGTAAAGAAGATGAAGAGAAGTGTTTCCACTGCATGGGTGGTCTCTGTCTGTGACACAAAGTGATGAACCTAACATCATCTTCCTTTAGGAAACGTTCAAATAACCAGCTGGTTCAGCTTCAATGTCAGATTTTCCTGTGATGTGATCAGGTTGTACGCTTTTGATCAGGTATCAAAAGACGTGTAACATATTGTGCAGAAATGTTCGTCATGCCAAGTTCATTGTGCAGTACATCCTTAACTCTCTCACGGGATATGTTAATAGCTTTGGCTATTTGATTTATAGCCAGTCACCTGTTATCCATCACCACGTGGCGGGCACGATTAATATATTCCTCGGTGGTGGCAATCGATGGACGCCTAAAACTTGGGTCATCTTCAAGACTCTTCCTTCCCTTCCTAAATTAAGCTGCCTACTTTTACACTGTTGGTAAAGCTGTAGCGTCAAACCCTAATATTTCAACCATGCCAGTCTGAATGTCCTTGGGGGCTAAACTCTTTTTCTGCGTGTACTTGATAACACACTGATGTCAAATTTTGTGAATTTTAAACAGAAGTCGCTACTAGTTACTTATGAAGACGTCAAATGTCAGTTAGCCTAGAAATAAGCAATACTGTTATTAATAGAAAGAGACGAATTTGATCCACGCAAGATTTCACAGTTCTAGCATCGTCAGCCTATGGATGTTTCAACTTGCCCTTGTGTATATGTCCGGAATGTATCAAAATATATTGTATTGGAATATCTCGAATAATGATTCTGCACAGATGTAACCGATCATTATGGAACTTATTGTACATGCAGGAACAGACACTCTTCAGCAAGGTATCTCAGTCTGCTGTCAAACTACGTGCCACAAAGTCCTCAAACGACCCTCCGCAGGTTTTGAATTCTGAGTTTTTCCTTCTCCTAGACCAGTTGCCATCCAAGGCTATAGAACCCAGTCTGTCCTGCTATTTACCCATAGCTGGAGGGAGAAGAAGAGGATTCACACCTTTCCCAAGGGTATTAGCACGTAAGTGAATGTAATGGATTCGACTGGAATTCGAACTCGGCTCTCCGATTCCTCAAGCCGAGCTGCTATCCATTATTCCACCGTGCCTCCTCTCACCCGTTAATAATTTTCTCACCCGTTATTAATGTTTCTTTTCTCATAGTCTCTAACACTCAGTAATCCCTTTGTGTTAGTGGCTTTATTGCTTTTCTTGGGCTGAAATAATTAATATATATATATATATATATATATATAAAATTATTAATATATATATATATATATATATATATACACACACACACACACACACACACACACATATATATATATATATATATATATATATATATAGATAGATAGATAGATAGATAGATAGATAGATAGATAGATAGATGGAAGGAAGGAAGCGTAAGCGACGTTTGAAAATCAGTCAATATGTAACAAGACACACACATGAACAAAATTTTCTATAAACAAAATATTATAAAGACTTGATTATAAGAATTAAGAGGCACTTATGTTAAAGTGTTACTGCAAAACGCTAACGCTAAATAGTGTCTGTTATATGAATAAAAGTTTAGGTGCAGTAAGTGATCGTTTATGCAATATCAGTCCTACTGTATGGCATTGAATGCCGGGTAATCTTCTCACATATAAAAAAAGAGACGAGAACAACCAGAAATGTGGTCATACAGAATGGTGCTGATAATACTAAGAACAGAACAAATGAATAACGACGAAGTTTTAGAGAAAATGGAAACAAAAAACACACTTATACTTAACATCAGGAATTGACAGCTGAAATTTATTGAGCTCATAATGAGGAAAGAGGGCTTAAGAATCTCATACTCATAAGACAGAGAGTGAAGGCTTGTGGGACAGAGGGAAACAACACATAACATGCTTAGCTAGGTTAAGTCAATGGAAACGTTTAAGAGAGATAAAATATAACAATTTATTAAGAGTTACGACGGAATTGTGAAGAGCAATGATGGCCAACTCCATGAAGGGTCAAGGAACAAATAATAATAATAATAATAATAATAATAATAATAATGTTTATGTGTGTGTGTGCGTGAGAAAGAGAGAGAGAGAGAGAGAGAGAGAGAGAGATCAGTTATAATTTTGATGCTTGAAGGGAATCATATCAAGCCATTAAATACTAATAAAAAATAAAATTGTCCCGCTAAGGGGAATGACACCTTTTTTTCTTCGACGTATTCCCTTTGGGAAAACATACTTATCAATCTCACAGTCGTTTCAATTAAAGAAAAATAACTTTCCCTTTATCTACCGTGTTTCGACAGTGATTCAGTTTTTTTGTAAATTTCAGATGTCGTAGGCTCTTAAATTTGAAAATTATGGACTGTCACACGAAATGATGGGATAGGTATCCATTTATTAATAAATAAATTGATAGATAAAAACGGAAATAAAACTGGAATAGTTGTGAATAATCTCGTTATATATGGTATCAAATGACAATTGGAAAAAAAAATCATACATTTTGCCGACGCGTTTCGTCTTCCGACTTTTTCAAGGCAAAAATGAAATCGAAATGTTTTTGCTGTTATAGTTACATTAAAATTCAAAATTAAAAAGATAGACGCTTGTGTCTAAGCCTTTTTTCTGGTTAATGTAAATTACCTTTATAGTAAGGGATTTTTTTTTTTTTTCATGTGGAGAGAAAGGGAGAGATTTTCTGTTAATACGTTATTTTTATAGATATAATTTATTTAAGTAAATGCTTTGTTTTTAATTAAGCGATTGTGGCTGAATAATAGCAGCACGTCAAGGTATATGACGGTCCCCATAAGAGTTACAGGTTCGATCCCTGTCGCACAACGCATATTTTCTATGAAAATTCTCAATCATTCAGGCCGGTAAATGTAATTAACACTGTTTAATTAAAAACAGAGCAGTTAATAAAATAAATTATATCTATAACGTATAAATAGAAAATATATTAAATAATTGTTAGACTTAATCTATTTCATTATATATATATATATATATATATATATATATATATACGACAAAGTGGAAAATTCTTTTTTTGTGCGACGCGTTTCGTCTATTAGGATGTCATCGGACGAGGTTTGTTAATATTCATTCGACAACGCATGCGCTAGAAAGACGGACGCTGGGAATTTTAAATTTAGATTTATTTTGTAATGTGTTTTGTGTATATAATCGGGCTATTTTCCTTTAAATTAATTTTCGTTTTTGGTAGGGAAAAGTTTATCTTAACCTTAAATGCTTTTTTAATAATTTTAACCATTTTTCAAATGAGATAATCATCGGATTCTAGCTGAGAACACACAGATTTGGCAGCCCTTAATATTTACACGAAGTGGAGAAATAAATTGAAAATACATTCAGAACCCTCAAAAACCCTAACTATTTCATATTCAATATGAAACAAAAGGATCATAAAATATTCCAAAATAGAAAAGCGGCCACTTCTGACAAATTCAGCGAATCCAAAAATATATTGTTCTACCCACGAATTCTATCACCCTCTACAATCGAAAAGAATTTATTCAAACTCAACATAAAATTTATCACTACATCTAAAACAATAAAAGACTTAATCAATACAAAACAAAACGACGAGCAAAAACTTGAAGGAGGAATTGCCAGAAAAGAATATTTTGGAAAAACTCCAGAAGTTTAAATAAAAGATTATATGAACATAAAAGAGACATATAAAAAATGCCATATTAAACGCATAAGTGACTCACCATAACAAGAATGTCCACAATTTTGACATAGAAAATACTGCTCTAATTAAAAGAGGAAATAATTTACTGAGATGAAAATGTTCAGAAAGTGTTTTAATTCATTAATTTAGTTCAGGCACGGTAATTTGGCGTCCAGGTTCTTACAGAGTTTCACCATTCTTGGCAGAACTTGTCATTATAATGTGGGATATTAGTAATAAAGATGATAGAAACACATAAGAAAAAGAATCTAAATGAAATTAGCTAGATTATACACTCAAAACACATTAAAAAAAATTCAAAATTTTAAATTCTCAGCGTCTCAGGGACAGTGCGCATGTGCAGGCGGAACGAGATAAACATAAATGTAGTCCGGTGAAGTCACACGAAAACTTTTACCACTCTGTCATACAGTTTTCATCCAAAACTGTTTTTGATATCTAAAAGATTATATATCGTTATCCCCTCCATATATATATATATATATATATATATATATATATATATATATATATATAATTAAATTACGAGGAAAATTACTTTCATCTTATGAAGTCCTTTTAAAGATCTCAGTATATGCTTGAACAATTATTTCATGCCATTCACACTAATTTTATATATTTAGCGAAACAAGAACACGTTATCAGTTACTGACTCTCACAAAAAAAATCTTTTTCATCAAACGGACACATTTGTGTATACAACTGCACTTGCACGACAGAAGATAAAATATCTACAAAGGTTAAAAAAAAGACCAATACGCACAACGCCATTACAAATATACCGGGTCTAACAGCAAAACTGACCAAATCATGTAGCAGTGCAAATTTTGCCTTCCACCCTATATATATATATATATATATATAAACCGTTTAAATAGGTCATGGTCTGATCCTCCTCCTCCTCCAATACAAAGTATGCCTGAGAGAGATATGAAATTAATCTCTCCTATACTCTACCATGTCTCTTTAACTACTCCTTTTACACTCTTTGTTAAATTACAAACTTACACTACCCATCAATTTTAATTTTATTTTTCGTGTCATTTCATTTTTGGAAGTGCTATCTGATGATCCGGCGTCCTTTAAAAGGGCTCTGGTGAAATAAATTATTGTAATGGTCCCTTAAAGTGGTCTGTTTTTTTATTTATATATATATATATATATATATATATATATATATATATATATATATATATCCATGAAGGATATATTCATATTGAATTGAAGAAAGCTGTTTTACACATTTGTCACAAACAAGTCAATGCTGATTTTGTTTTCGTTTAGCAGCATATCAACCTCTATGGTTGATATTACCTGGTCATAATGATGCTTTAGTGAGACAAATCTTAATAATTAACACATTGCTAGGAGGGGGGAGAAGAGGTGCTTTCATACCTATTCCATGTGTACTTGCGCGTAAGTGAATATAATGAACTCATCTGGAATTGGAACTCCGCACTCCGATCAACAATTTTGAGATACTATCCATTAAAATATCTTCGTCTCACTAGTCTAGGTATTGCTTAAGTTCGGTTATCTTACCGGAGCCGGTATTTCAAAATGATGTGGCCGTAAGCAAAATCAACATAGACTGAACATGTGGGTAACGAGGAAGATTTAAGGAGAATGTAAAGAAAACTACAAAAATATGCATAAAATCAATTGAAATTTCTGGGATGCATAATAAGAAAAGAATGCCTGGAGAATGTAACACACATAGGATATGACAAGAGAAACAGTGGAAAATAGCGAGCAACCTACCTAAAAAGCTTGTGTAAATGCAGGACCGAACAAGCTAAAGGAGAGATAATATAATCAAAAACACAAATTGTAAAAGCTCAAAGAATAGGAAATTGTGGAGAGCCATCTTAAATTGATACGACATATAGAAGAAATCTAATAGTTTTGTAGCAAAAAATAAAAATAGAACATCCGTAACCGTGTCTATCTATCTATCTATCTATCTAGTATCTATCTATCTATCTAGTAAAAAAAACAAGATTATGTTTGTCTTTCTATCCCAAACCCCAGTCAACAGGAATATTTCTTCCACTACATAAGCTGCCAAAAAAAGGTAGAAATCCCTGTTTACCCTGATTTTAACGCCGAGCTAGACTAAGACGAAATGAATTTGTACTTTTCCAACTTTATTTGTATGAAACGGAACCCAACGAAATCGGTTAAAATTTGAACTCAACAAATCAGTCATAATTTCTGAACCGATGATCGTGACACCTCGCACAAAGCCGTTACACCGAGTCGCCAACATAAAATATTTTGATATTAATTAACCCAGTAAAGACTGACACGTCACAAAATGAAACAAAACATCCATGATATATAAAACTAGAATACCCATGAGTATTTCAGTTTTCTATATCAGAAAGAGAGATACAGGTACAGAATGGCATGTACCTATGTTTCATTGACTACTCAAAGGCCTTCGTCAAAATACGCCGCACGTATCTGATGGAGCTGCTCAGAAACCTTGATATATTCGGGAAAGATATCAGAGTAATCATAAAGGGAACGAGTTCAGTGAATATACAAAAATAGAAAAGGGCGTAAGGCAAGGATGCGTCTTCTCACCCGAACTGTTCAACCTATACAGCGAGACAATTGTAAGAGAATTGGAATTCCAACCGGGATTTAGCATTGGCAGACACAACCTTAACAACATAAGATACGCAGATGACACGGTAGTGATAGCAGACAGGGAAAGGAAATTACAAAATCGCCTACAGAACTTCGCAAGTGAGGATGAGAAGAAAGGACTAAGCATGAACTACATGAGGACAAAATTCACGGTCGCCAATAAGAGGATGAGCCCGAAATGCGATTTGCAGGTTGGGAACATAGAACAAGCAGACGCGGAATTTTAAATATCTGGGAAAGCGTCTTGACAGAGGACGGTAAGTGCGACACTGGGATCCGTAGTCGTATCGGGATAGCCAAGGACACATTCCAAAATCTTGGCAGAGTATTACGAGACACGAAGATTTCTTTGGTAACAAAGAAAAGAATACTGAGCTGTTATGTGATATCTGTCCTTCTTTACGGCAGCGAATGTTGGACGATTTCCTCAAAGATGATGAACAGATTCGAGGAGACGGAGATGTAGTTCTACAGAAGGATGTTAAGGATATCATGGACCGAGCGTGTGAGGTCTTAGAGAGGATGCAAAACAAGGAGGAGGCTTATATTTAACATCAGAAAGAGGCAACTGAAGTTTCTGGGATATATAATGAGGAAGGAGGGCCTGGAGAATCTGATACTCACGGGTCGAATACAGGGAAAGAGAGACAAAAGAAAACAGCGAGTGACATACCTGGCGAGCTTGAGCAGGTGGATGATAGAACGTGGTCTAGGGGAGGAAGCAGAGGGAAGGATCTTGCTGAGAGTTACAGGGGATAGAAGGAGGTGGAGAGCTATGATCGCATACGTTCTGAAAGGTCATGGCACATAAAAAGAAAAGAATTGAAATCTTCTAATGAATCTTAATCCTTAAGTTCATGATTGAACAAGCTCCTTGCAAGTTCCACGGCTATAAAAAAAAAAAAACCGGTTTAAATTCCTTTATTTCTTCCCTAAATATTGTACCTTACGTTCTTTACGTAGGTCATTATTTAAAGAAATAACGGGGTACACATGAAAAGATCCAAAACTGACAAGGTCATTTCATTAAATTAAGGCAGATATTACACATATGAGATTGCTATTTGCTCTTTTTTCTATTTCTTTCTCTTTTTATTAATTCATTCTTTCTTTTCACTCCCTTTACTGGAAACCAAGCAGAGTCTTTGATGTGTCTTTTCTTCCGTCTGTCCTTTAAATATAACAAGAATGTTTATATGTGTTATTGATGTGACGTAATGCACGTACTAACTAAAAAACGAATTAAGGAACAAGTGTAATGACAATATGATGTCATTTGTTTGGCATAAATTGACCAAAGTATCTCATCTCTCCGGTGACCAAGCTCTAACAGAAAAATGGAGAAATACCTAGCTTGTAATATTCGGTGCATCCAAAACCAAAATAGTAATGTTCCATCATCTCCGTTTAGACACTGAATTTCCATCACCTCAGTTTAGACCCTGAATTTCCATCATCTCAGTTTAGACCCTGAATTTCCATAATCTCCAATTTGACCTTGAATTTCCATCATCTCCGTTTAGACCCTGAATTTCTATCATCTTCGTTTAGACCCTGAATTTCCATCATCTCTATTTAGACCCTAAATTTCAATCATATCTATTTAGACCCTAAATTTCAATCATCTCCGTTTAGACCCTGAATTTCCATCATCTTCGTTTAGACCTTGAATTTCCATCATCTTCGTTTAGACCCTGAATTTCCATCATCTTCGTTTAGACCCTGAATTTCCATCATCTCTATTTAGACCCTAAATTTCAATCATCTCCGTTTAGACCCTGAATTTCCATCATCTTCGTTTAGACATTAAATTTCCATCATCTCCGTTTAGACACTGAATTTCCATCATCTCCGTTTAGACCCTGAATTTCCATCATCTCCGTTTAGACCCTGAATTTCCATCATCTCCGTTTAGACCTTGAATTTCCATCATCTCCGTTTAGACCCTGAATTTCCATCATCCCCATTTAGACCCTGAATTTCCATCATCTCCGTTTTGACCTTGAATTTCCATCATCTCCGTTTAGACCCTGAATTTCCATCATCTCCATTTAGACCCTGAATTTCCATCATCTCCGTTTAGACCCTGAATTTCCATCATCTCCGTTGAGACCTTGAATTTCCATCATCTCCGTTTAAACCCTGAATTTCCATGATCTCCGTTTAGACCCTGGATTTTCTACTGTCAATATGAACGATTATAATCTCAATGAGGCTCATTCCTTCGCACTTTTATATATACGATCCATCGCTAATGAACCAAGACAAATGATCGGAATCTTGTACTGCTCTTGAAATATCAGAAATCTGCATGCCTATCTTTACAAGTATTAGATCAAACTGAAAATAGAGTATTGCTGCCATATTTGGCCTAGAGCAGCTAAATCCTCATAGTCTTGATGAAGCTCAAAGGCGCCTGCATAATTGATTAATTATTTTCCCCCATACAACCTCTTTTCTACAGTCGAAAAGTCGGAAGCACCTCTATAGCCTATCACTATTTTCGTGGCAATCGTTCCTGACAAGCTACTTTTCTTACTTCCAAAAATTCAAACTTATACAGCTAAAACCCTCAAAGCCGTGTCTGCAGGTTCGAATCTTCCCCGTTCTCTTCGTAATTCATTGGTGAGAAATTAATTTTATTTGAAAAGCTTCTTTCCAAGAACCGATACTTTGTGAAACAGACTTCTGAGAGAATGAGTCCCTAATTTTAACCTTTTCAAGTCTCGGGTCAGCTGTTATCGATTTTCACCAAATTCGTTAAAAAAAACACAATCTTAATGGCCTCAAGGGCCTTTTATGGATAAATATTATTTATTACAACTCGTCAGTTTTATAACGATAATTATGTTGTCTTTGAATTAATACCTGGTGGTTTGTGGCTGGTTATTTAAATGGTAACCAAGCGGAAACAGACATTTTATACGACGAGGGTGTCATATTAATTTTGGGCGGATTCTTCGCCTTCCTTCAACGGTATAATCCTCGTTACAAAGTTAGAGATATAAAGAAGAGATTTCTTGCTAGCATCGACGTTCTTGTGATTTCATTCATGTTCGATAGAGCTGAAAATTGGCAACGATATGAATACCTTGGTGTACAGAGAGTCGCAAGAATGCTTTTAAATAAAATCGGAAATACACACGGACAAATGAGCGTTATTTGTATAAAATGTGCTTCAGCATCGTTTAGTATGTCATAAATGCATCTACCTTCCGAAATAATTTTATTTTTCGTAAAGTTTCTCATATTTTTATTTGCTTTCAAAAACATGTTTATATATCGATTTTTTTTTTTTTAGGATTTAAACATTTCGTGTAAATAAAGGAGACATTTGTAAAGAGAGATAAGTCAGGGCCAATACTAAAGAATTGGGATTATAGAAGAAAAGAAAATAGAAACGAGATAAAAAAAAAAACGTTCTGATTTTGTTCAGATCTGCGCATGCGTGTTAACCTGTCAAAAATGGCGACACCGAAATAATCCCGCTGAAGCTTACAAATGGTGAATGGAAGCTAAACTAAGCTCGGCTAAGCTGACAAAATTGAATTGTAGAGATGGACTGGAAATATTCTGTTTTGTTTTTTTCCTTTTTTATATTTGCTATTTATTTATTTGTATCTTTTCGGAAGGGTGTTTTGTTTGATACGACAAAGCAGACGATGTTCATTTCTTTTAAACTTGAAAACCGTCGTGCCAAGAAGTGTGGAAAAACGCTAAGCCATATTCAATTTATTCTGAATGAATATATATATATATCTTGTTTTTATATGTGTATATGAATTTCTGGTTTCAGATGCCTTCTCACAAATTTATAAAAGAAAAGAAAAAAGTTTACAAATAATAGCGACAATGACAGGCAATGTTGTATATAGAAAACATTGGACAATTCAATATGTAAGTTTCATGAACTGAGATAAATTCACCATACCGTAAATCCTGTTAAATTTTATCCTTACCAAATGAAACAAATATCGATTCGAAAATATCTTTCTTAGATTATGAACACATACACAACACCGTCACCCAAGCCCCACATACTTCGGTATATAGTGGAGTTATCGCCGTGTCAGTTGGCATGACACAGACGGGGATCGCCCTTGCAAATCATCATTTACGAAGTGAATTCACTATATATATATATATATATATATATATATATATATATATATATATATATATATATAAAAAACTACATTAAAATCCACGGTTAGACAATATACGATAAATATGTAATACGGGAAAAGTGCAGCAATAATTTATGGAAATATTATTTCTACCTATATACATTCCTAGTCAAAATCTTAAGACCAGATGCAAAACGGTTAAAAA